GAATTGTCATTTTGCTTTTGGAGTCATTTTGGTAGGCTGGCCACTCCTGGGAAGGTTCACCAGTGTTCCAAGTTTTCTCCATTTGTGGGTAATGGCTTTCACCGTGGTGCACTGGAGTCCCAAATCCTTAGAAATGGCTTTGTAACCCTTTCCAGACTGTTACATGTCAATTACTTTGTTTCTAATCTGTTCTTGATTTTTTTTAGATTGAGGCATAATTTGTTGCTTTTTGAGATCTTTTAGCGTGCTTCACTTTGTCAGGCAGCTTCTATTTAAGTGATTCAACAGGTCTGGCAGTAATCCGGCCTGGGTGTGGCAAGTGAAATTTAACTCAGCTTTCCAAAAAATGTGGTTAAAAGAGAATTATGGGTTTTTTTTTTTTTTTTAGCTTTATCCTATTCCCTATGAGCTGCTAATAAATAAAAATCTTTCCAGACCTTGGAGAAGTGCACCCTTTCTGTTAAAATCAAGGTAAATACCTATGGGAGGGGATTCAGTCTTCTCAGGATTCTTACGCTGGCAATCTTGTCTGCATCCACCTCCTTTCCTGTGTTTAATTGATGTTGGCTCTGGGCTGTCTGCTCTCCCCCTCCTCCCCCCTCACACAACACACAGCTTACAGCCATTTTTATCTGGGAACTTTACATGCCAGAACTGCAGAATAGCAGGCAGCTACCCAGTGTGCAGATAGTTGTCTGTAAGAGAATCGATCTGAGCTGTGTGTTGTGTGAGAGGAGGTGGGGGAGAGCAGACAGCCCAGTGCCGACAGCAATCAAACACAGAAGCAAAGGAGGTGGATCCAGACAAGATTGTCAGCATAAGAATCCAGAGAAGACTGTAGCCCCTCCTACAGGTATTTACCTTGATTTTTACAGAAAGGGTGCACTTCTCAGAGGGCTGGAAACATTTGTTTATATATTAGCAGCTCACAGGGAATAGTGTAAAGCTAAAAAAAGAAAACCCATACTTCTCTTTTAATCACAGTTCATTCATGATTTAGCAAGGGAGTGGGGCAATAACTTTTTCATATAGGGTCAGGCAGGTTTGGACAGCTTGTTTCCCTTAATAAATGAAATCATCATTTAAAAACTGCATTTGTATATTCTTGGGTTATCTTTGAGTAATTTAAATTTTGTTTATCTATCAAGTGCCCAATTGTCCCCACAATACGTTTCACAGCAGCCAGATGAATCCACAGACCTGTTGACTATATATATGTCGTCACAATGTTGATATGCAGCGTGCAGTAACCCATATCAACCAGTTGACTGCATCTGTTTTGGAATGATTAATATTTGTTACTGCACATTACAGTTGCTCTTCGAACATGGGCATTGAGCCCTGTATGAATGGGCAGTTTGTTTATGCAGACAGAGCCACCAAGTGTTATGTATGTCTATGGGATGCAGCGGCTGTATGAACACAGATGCTTATCCTAACTTGACAGGTATGCAGGTGAGCTGCCCTGAAGGCAGATAGTACTGTATGTGTTCAGGTGATGTTACTGTGTCCATACAACAACTGCATCCTCACAGACTTACATCAGCTGCCTGCTCACTGCACCTAGCAGCTCCTGATGCACATTCATGGTGTACGGGCCTCAGTGCCCCAATGGAGAAAGAAATTTCTCTGTTTTTCCTGGTGACCCTTGATATTGGGACTGAAGGGGAAAATTACAAATTTTCAGTTCTTACCAAGAGAGAAATAGAGGGGAAATATTCCAATGGGCATACTTGTTCTGGCAACAATGGCCTAAGAGTGTATCTCCTTCACATTGTAGAGATTTCTGCTTATTTCCTGTTTTGTTTACAGGAAAGGATGTAAAAAAAAATTCTCCAATGGGACCCAGAAGGCAAAAAAAAAAAAACAGATGAATTTTAACCATTCCCTACTCCAGAGAAAAATAAAATTGGAAAAAAAAGCTAAATACTTTAAAGCAGACCTGTACTAAGAGAAGTGTGGATGGATGGCAATTCCTTCAGAATTCCAGTCTTTATTCTATCACTATAATATTGACTGTTGACTGTAAACCTTTAATCAGTCTCAACCAGCTTTAAAGTCTTACTAAACTTGATCTATTTTCATTATACGATACAGATATTATATTTGTTAAATGTGCCACACTAGTAGTGCTAGCATCGATTAAAAAAAGCATTCCATTTAATCTCAATGGCTGCATTGGCTTCTTTGTAATATTTTTTCTTTAAATTTCTCTTAGTCTGTTACTTCGCTGTCAGCATGTCCCTCAAATTCTCAGATGCCGGGATTGATACAAATGAGGCTGCCTCCCTCGTGAAAAGCATGGTGAGACATGGAAATGTTCTTGACAAGCCGAGATACTGACTACTCTATTTACAACCATTCATAAATATCACGGAAGAGAGCATTTGCCAGAAAGGTTGATATACTTGCTGGTATAGGTGAACTATGACTGGCTACTAAGATTTAATTAGCCCTGTTTTAATAAAATTGTAAATTCTATGTAAATGTCACAAATGGTCCCAAGGTCATTTTTACTATGATATATATTGAGGCTAGTGCCTAGCTCAGCAAGTGTAGTAAAAAATGGTGCTGCACAGAGGGCAATAATTGGGTATTATAATTATAGGATGGAACAAGTGAATTCATGGTAAGTACACAGCAATTGTATGCAGTCATTCTACAACTGATTAGGGGTGTATTTGTCAAAGATTCACTTGGCAATTTGGCCATTGAATAATCATTCAAAAGACTCCAGCAAAGATTTGTCGGGGTTTGCCCATTTTGAATTTTCTTGTATATGTATATAAAAATTAACCATCTAAAAACACAGTTTCTGCACCATCATGGATGAAAAAATGCACAGCTCCAAAGCAAGAAGAACTATGAAATACATTTAAAGTGTTACTAAACCCAAAACAGTAAAATCAGTCTTTATATGCAGTAAAGCATGCTTGTTATACTCAACATGGAACCTAAGGGGCTAATACTCTGCATTGTGTAAAAAGGCTGTTTGATCCTGACTTCCCTGCCCCTCCTCTTGTTCAAATGTCCACACTAATAAGACAGACTGAATCCGTAGCCCATTTGCACATGCTCAGTTTAGTATATATTGCTAGAGAGGTTTTTTTTCCTTGGGAGAGTGCATGTGATCAGCACAGGACCAATCAGCACTGTCCAGAGAGAGGGGTCAGGGGTTTTGTATCCTCCTAGAGCAGAAAGAAAACTCCTCCTACAAGCTATAACCAGTGCTCTGCTGAAGTCACAAGACTGCTCTAACTGCTGATGAGAAAAGGTATTTAGCAGTTTATATTTACTAAAACAATTGCACTTCCATGTTGTGTGTACTGTGGAGGACCAGATAGAGTGAATGCAGGGTCCTGGGTTTAGTAACACTTTAACCACTTCAACTTGCGGTCCTCCAGTTGCTGCCAAACTACAAGTTCCATGAGGCATTGTGAGATTGACAGTCACAAGCTTAACTCCCAAAGGCAGAGGCATGATGGGACTTGTAGTTTTGCAACCGCTGGAGGACAGCCAGTTTGACACCCCTGATCTAGGGAATAGTTTAACTTTTGTGCAAGGTGAAAATTGGGCGTATGATTGGCAATCATTAGAATAAATCTGCATGTTTTTATTGAAGAACAGATGGCAGATGGTTTGGTGAAACTTTCACAGTTTTTCTTGTCGATGTAGGGTATTTACATTTTATAAAATCATGTTCTTACACAAAAATTTCCAAATACAAATGTGTTTTTTAAATAAGTTAGCACAAAACATCTACTGATTTTAATTATACATTGCAAAATGTTTGTTTATGAAAGTTCTGCCATACACTTTTGAACATGTTTACGATGATGAATTCAGTGTCTGATTCTGTGATCAAACACCATATAACACCTGTTTTCTTCTTTAGATGGACTCCTTTCTTAATAATACAGATTTTTCTGTGTTGGATATAACTGTTTCTGAGGGACCAAGGTACGTAAGGGAAACCCAAGTACATGAGTTGAATCATTTCCTATATCTTTATTTCTGTTATTAGATTACAATTATTTTTATGTTGTGCTGCATTGTTGACTTTTCAAGAAGCAAGCATTTAATTTTAAAAATAATAAACATTCTAGGCAGCACAGTAGCTAAATGGTTAGCCCTTCTGCTTGACAGCCCTAGGGTTGTTGGTTTGAATCCCAACCACGGCACCATTTGCCTGGAGTTTGCATGCTCTCTGTGGGTTTCCTCCCACACTCCAAAGATATGCTGGTAGGTGTATTGGCTCCTGTCTAAATTGGCCCCAGTATGTGTATGTATGAATGTGAGTTAGGGACCTTAGATTGTACACCCCTTGAGGGCAGGGACTGATGTGAATGTACAATATATATATATATATATGTAAAGCGCTGCATAAATTGACAGTGCTATATAAGTACCTGAAATAAATAAATGGTATAATCTAGACAGCTCATGCTCTAAACTAGTGGTATTTCTCTTTGTTAGAAGATAATAGTGCATTAACCACTTGCCTACCAGGCACTTATACCCCCTTCCTTACCAGGCCAATTTTCAGCTTCAGCGCTGCCGCACTTTGATTGACAATTGCGCGGTCATGCAACAGTGTACCCATATGAAATTTTGATCATTTTTTTCTCACAAATAGAGCTTTCTTTTGGTGGTATTTAATCGCCACTGGGCGCTTTACTTTTTGCGCTATAAATAAAAAAGTGCAAAAAATTTGAAAAAAAAAAAAAGTTTCTTTGTTTCTATTATAAAATTTTTCAAACAGGTATTTTTTCTCCTTCACTGATGTGCGTTGATGAGGCAGCACTGATGGGCACTGATAGGCGGCACTGATGGGCACTGATAGGCAGCACTAAAGGGCGCTGAGAGGCAGTACTAATGAGGTGGCACGGATAGGCGGCACTGATAGACAGCACTAATGAGGTGTCACGGATAGGCGGCACTAATATGCAGCACTGATAGGCGGCACTGATAGGTGACACTGATGATGGGTACTGATAGACGGCACTGACTGGCATCACTGCTGGGCACTGACTGGCGACACTGACTGGCACAACCCCTGGGCACTGGCTGGTGGCACTGACTGGCAGCACTGCTGGGCTGCACTGGTGGGTGGCACTGGTGGGCAGCACTGGTGGGTGGGCACAGGTGGGTGGCACTGGTGGGCACAGGTGGGTGGGCCCAGGTGGGTGGCACTGCTGGGCACATGTAGGTGGCACTTCTGGGCACAGGTAGGTGGCACGGCAGAGTGGCACAGGTGGGTGCACTGCTGGGCACAGGTGGGTGCACTGCTGGGCACAGGTGGGCGGAGCTAGTGGGCGCACTGCTGGGCACAGGTGGGCAGAACTTGCAGGTGGCACTGCTGGGCACCGATCATCAGGGCACTGATCATCAGTGCCCTGATGATCGGTGCCGATCCCCGCTCTGACAACTGCCGGTTCCCGGCAGTAATTTCCTCACGATCTGACAGCGTGAGGAAAGTGCAGCCGAGAACCGGCACTTGCATTTCCCTCTGATCAGCGTGTCATTGGACACCGCTGATCAGGTGGTAAAAGGCCGCTGTGATTGGCCTTTTACCACATCACGTGATCAGCTGTGTCCGTAGGACACAGCGATCACGGAGATCGCCAGGTGCGCGCCCCCTGGGGCGCGCAGGAGAGCGCGTTCTGGGGGGACGTCATATGACGTCCACCCAGAATTGGCCGGCCGCAGTGAAGCCGTCATTCGGCTATCTGCGGTCGGCAGGTAGTTAAAACAACATGCCAGTGACAACACATCTACCAATACAGAGAGTTGTGACATTCAATTACAGGATTAGTTTCTATATAAATTATATGTTTTAATTTTTGTATTTAGTTGTCCGTACTTTAAAAACATAATCTTTATGATTTTTAACTAGTATTTCAGTTTAGATATGTTTATTTGTTATTACTGTTCAGTGCCTGGATAACTTAAAGTGTTATTAAACCCACAACAGTAAAATCAGTCTATATATGCAGTAAAACATGCTTGTTATACTCACTGTGGAGCCTAAGGGGTTAATCCTCTGCATTGTGTAAAAAGGCCATTTGATTCTGACTTCTCTGCTCCTCCTCTTGTTCAAATGTCCATGTCTTATCTCCTGATAAGACAGACAGAACCCGTAATCACATGCACATGCTCATTTTAGTTTGTATTGCTAGAGAGGTTTTTTTTTTAACTTGGGAGAGTGCATGTTATCAGCACAGGGCCAATCAGCACTGCCCAGACAGAGGTCAGGGGTTTAGCATCCTCCTAGAGCAGAAAGAAAACTCCTCCTACAAGCTTTAACTAGTGCTCTGCTGGACACTGATAGAAATCACAAGGCTGTTCTAACTTCTATTTAGCAATTTATATTTACTAAAATAATTGCATTTCTATGTTTTGTGTACTGTGGGAGACTAGATATAGTGAATGCAGGGTTCTGGGTTTAGTAACACTTTAAACATAGATATTACGTATACTTTTCATAGTATTAATTTTGTCTAAAGACATTATTCGTAACAGTGGAATACCATGGGTGGAGTGGTGGCAATGGGTATCACTGGGTACAGGTAATATGAGAATGCAGGCAGTGGGAACAGAGAAGCCTCTCCTATCTTAGGAAAGTCACCGTTGACATCAATGTTCTACTTACTTTAGTCCCTATTGACCACCACCAATGTAAGGAGTCCCATCACCAATGATCACTAATGTAAAAAGGTACTCAACTGACCACCCATGTAGGGGACATTACACTAAATACCATTGTAAATTGTGCTGCACATTGCATACTCCTGAGCACTGCACTCTGCAAGCTGTGCTGTACATGACATACCTCTGCCCCTGCAAGCTGTTTTCTACATACTGTATTGCTGTACGATCCCTGCTGGCCATTATTACATTGTGCTTAATTTCATGATTATTACTGAAGGTAATTTTGCTGCACAGAAAAACAAGGGTTTTGCAGTTCTCTTCTTTGGGGGTAAAATACCCTGGCTATGCCAATTCTTTTTTTTATGTGATTAAAATACTGCAAAATGATGAAAACACTCATATTTAGGGGAATTGTTAATTTCTGAAGAATAAATATAATATTTATTTGTCTTATGCCAGAGATCATGGATTGTGCTAAATCCAAATGTTGCAGCTGCTTTACAAGAATCATTTCTAATCAAATCTTATCTTCCGATCTAATGTTATTATTTCAATGTTTGCCGCAGTAATGAACCTGGGAATGTCCCCACACAAAAAAAGCAATAAAAAGGTAAAAATGACTTCCCTTTTACTAGGCTGTCACTAGGGCTCAGTGTTAGTGAATGTCTGTTTAGTATTGGACTATGGGATTTGAAAGGTTGACTAATAAATGACTAAATGAAGTTTGACTAAAATAAACTGAAGGAAGACGCTAAAGGTGATTACAGCATGTTGCTAAGGCAGTGTTACATTAGATGTCATATTAGATCTTTTCTGCTAATAAATGTGCTGAGTAGCTTGCTCTGAAATCTCAAAGTTGACGGATATCGACTTGGACAATCTGCAGCCAGATGGGAGAAGACAATTTACTTTGTATGATTCCTTATTTTCCTGTTCACTATATCATCTCATATGTTCCATTCATTGGCTCCATTCCCAGGCTATTTAAAGTGTATCTGTAGGGAGAAGGAGGTATTTTGGAAGGCAAAGGGTAAAAGGCACCTTCCCCCAATATCTGCAATACGTCTTTCACAGTGGTAGATGGATTGAGAAATTATTCTGTGGCTGAGACTCACCAGATAACATTGATTATAGTTTAGAATGTATATGGTGAGCAGCAGGGGCGGACTGACAACTCATGGGGCCCCCAGGCAATAGGGGATCATGGGGCCCCTGTGTCCTTGCCCAAACTCAAAAAAGCCTATGAAAAAGGTACCAGGGGCATCTCATGGGGCCCCCTACTGACCCCGAGCCCTCGGGCAGTGCCCGAGTTTCCAAATCGTCAGTCCGCCCCTGGTGGTGAGGGAAATTCACCCTACTTTGCTGGATGATACTGGATGATGTGACAAATACCATGCCCTGACTTTTAGAACCATTTGCTGAGTGCAGAAAAAGGAATAATTCCACTCCACAAGTATTAATTGCAGCGATCAGAGCACCTTTCAAAATTCTGATGGTCAACAGTAAGGTGTGGAGGTGTTTTGTTTCGGATCGATTTGTTGTTACTAATTTTGTGTCGTTGCATTTTTGTAACAAAATTTGTTTCATTTAGTTTCATTTTGTTTATTCGTTTTTTTTCGTCTGGATTCAAATTTTTCCAACAAATTTAAAGTATTTGAATTGAATTTGAATCAAAAATATTGAATTGACCTGAATTCTTTGTAAAGACTATTTCGTTCTATTCTATTTGAAATTTGAATTTCGGAAGACTGTTATAATTTTTCTAATCCTTTTTATTCATTTTTTTTTCTATTCCATTCTTTTCTATTCCTTTATTCTCTATTCTATTCTTTTCTATTCTGTTTTACTCTATTCTTTTCTATTTATTTTATTCTTTTTCAAAATTCTAATTTCAGAAGATGATTATATTCTTTCTGTTTTTATTCTATTCCATTTAAAATTCAAAATGTTGAAATTTAAATTTCAGAAGATGCCTGTATTCTATTTTATTTTACACTAACCTATTCTATTTTTTCTATTCTATTCTATTCTATTCTTTTCTCTTTATTTTCTATTTTATACTTTTATTTTCTATTCTATTTTGTTGTTTTACTATATTCTTTTCTATTCTATTCTGTTTTATTCTATTCTATTTCACTCTATTATTTTCTATTCTATTCTGTTTTATTTTATTCTTTTTTAAATTAATATTTTGGAAGATGGGTTTATACTATACTTTTATCTTTATTCTAGGCCGTTCCATGCTATTCTAGTATTTTCTATTCTATTATATTCCTTTGTATTCTATTATGTTTTTTACGCTATTCTATTCTTTTCTATTCTATTCTGTTTTATTCTATTCTTTTTTGTTCTAATTTCAGAAGATGGTTATATTCTTTTTATTTTATTCTGTCCTATTTGATATTTTGAATTTTGAAATTCAAATTTGGCAAGACGGCTATATTCTTTCTATTCTATTCTATTGTATTTTTTATTTTTTATTCTATTCTTTTCCTTTTTGTTATATTCATTTGTTTTCTATTCTATTGTATTCCATTTTATTCTTTAATTTTCTATTCTATTCTGTTTTATACTATTCTTTTAGAAATTTGAATTTTGGAAGATGGTTATATTCTAATACACACAGTCTTCGAAGGAAATCAGCAATAGTCAGCAATTTGTTTACATTTCGAATTTATTTTCTAATTCAAATTAGTTTTCAAATTAATTTTGAATTGGATTCAAATTTGATTAAAATTCGGATAATTTGTTATTTAGGGCCGAAATTTTGTTTTGTTTTTTCGGATTCATTTAAATTTGTTACTATTGCAATTTGGAAATTTGGATACATCTGAATCTCCTAATAATGAACATTTCGGCAGAATTTTTATTCAGACCGAAAGAAACCGCAAATGTCTAGGCGCCACCTCAGGCAAGATTCCCACTTTTCACCATGGTAGCGTCTGGCCTTTGAAATTTCCGGAAGTTAGTGGTTCACAATACAGTGTTTTCATATCTTTTCATTGCTAATTTAACAAAGGTAACCATGTACAGTATATCAGAAAGCTACTGTAACAGCAGTGAAACAGCCTCATAAGAAAAATCATACAATTCGGTTTTATACATTACCATAGTATGGTCTCTGGACTAAATTGATTCATTTTCCTTTAAGTAAATATATTTACAAGCCAACATAAATCCTGTCAAGTAAGAAATATGATAGCTAACTTTACTTAGTTTTTCTGAAAGGTGCATGTTCTCCACCTGTCATGTTCATCCTTAGGCCTCTTTCACAAGGGCGTTCCATATGTCTGTTTTTCATCTGTCTGTTTACAGATGAAAAACAGACATCCATGTTTTTCTATGGACTAGCGGATGTAAATGGATGATCATAAGATTACATCAGTTAATGTCTGTATCCGTTAACATCCGTTTTTTTTGAATGGAAGAAAACCCTATTTTTCATCCGTAAAAAAACCCAGAACTGATGAAAAACGGATGTAAGCGGATGAAAACAGATGGAAAACAGATGGAAACAGATGAAAAACTGGTGTAAAACGGTTGTAAACGGATGAAAACGAGATGAAAAAATGGATGTAAAATGATGAAAAACTAGTTGTAAACTGATGAAAACCGGCTGTAAACTGATGAAAAACTGGATGTAACTGATGAAAAACTGGATGTAAACTGCTGAAAAACCGGATGTAAACTGATGAAAACCCGGATGTAAAC